GTTTTGCCTAACGGCCCCTTTTTCCGGCACACCGCCTATTTCACCATCGGCAGCCGCTGAGCATTAAAAAATGTTATTGAAACCCCTGCATTTCCTCGCTTGTAGAAGTTCCGTCGACGAAATTTCATTTTGAAATGTAAACTTGGGATCGCGCATCTTTATTATTCTACTACACGGAATGTTTTGATATGACAAATCTTTTATTTCAGCCACCGATGTGAAGAAAAGTCTAAATTGGAAGAAAAGTCTAGATTGGAAATAAGGAAGAAAGTAGAGAATGTACAACTCAAACAAATACAATTACCTTTTCAAATTCAGCATCAATTTGTTGCAGGAGAGCCGGCTTTTCCTCTTCAAAGAACACTCTGAGTGTCGCTCCAACGTACATGTGTAATGTTCCGAGCAGTGAGATGGCAGCTGTTCGAACAGCCTGGAGAAAAAAAGAAAAGGGTTTGGTATGACCGGTACAAATGTTTTTACTGGTCTCTGTTCATATAAGTTTACTAGAAAAGCAAAAGCATTGCTTTATGGCTAAATTGGGTGAATTTATATCATACACCTACAAGTTCATTGTCAAACTGCCAGAAACTATTGAAAAAATTGACTTGTCAACTAAGTACCTTAATGAGTAAATGACTGACCGACGGACCAACCAACCAATTGACTCTAATAGCAATAAGATAAAAGTTTGACTATACTTACTGGATTGGTATTTGCCAAGGCTTCCTTCACATAGGCAATATGAGGCTTGAGGTCAATTCTTTGAAAATAAAAAAAAAAAAGTTAAGTAATCTTGATGTTCATATTTTCCACATAAAAATGTTGGTACCAACACTTTATGTGACCCTATCATTTTTTTGTTCAGGGTTGTGGTCCAACAGGCTCTAACAAAATTAAGTGATTTTAGTTTCATAGAGAAGAAAATGTTTTCCAATTTGCAAATTTAGCAGGAACATGCTTGAGTCCTCACTCAAGGTGACAACTTGCTTTTTGAATAGGTTCCAATTCATAAAAAATTATCCAGCTGATTCTATGTCACTTACTTGAACCCAAATCCTTTTACTGCATCTGAAAGCCAGTTAAGAGATTCTGCAAGAACTTTAGGATTCTTCTGAGAGCCAGAATGCTTGGAAACCTACCATCAAAATATGAGTTAAAAGAAAAAAAGGTTCATAACCTGACATGAATGATTAAGTAATGACTAAGAGCACATTGTAACTGTAGTACAATGTATCCAAAAGAAACTCAGAAACTACAAGGGTAGAAAAAAAAGTGTCGTGATTGAATGTACCAATAGTGATAATACCGCATCTGAGTGACCTTGTAATCTCACTATTATGATACTTACTTGTTAAGCATGGTCAAGGTAAAAGAATTCTTTCCATAAAAGCAATTCTGACAACAGCAGGTCTATTCTCTGTAACTGGCAAACATTTCAAACTGATTCATCAAGAAAAAGCTACCAAAAATTTGTTTAAGGGAAGATGGCCTGTCAAGGTATGGTTCGTGACTCACCTTCAAACTGATGTAGTTTAGTGATATCACTTCAGAAAATGTAGTGAGTGTTTCTTTGCTTGCCTCTTTTAACTAACAAAATCAAAACGTTTGTGAAAAAAAAAAATTGTGAGAAGCTGAAACAACAAATTTGAAAAAAAGAAAAAAAAAAAAATTAAAATTTACCAGAATAAAAGACAACAAAAGGTACCTTTATATCTCCAATCTTGTCAACGAGCCCATCAAGAGCATAGAAGGCACTGCGCTTAGAAAAGGACTTGATGTTCCGTGCAATGTACTGGCACAGAGCAAACTTGGCTTTCAGCACCTGTAAATTCCCAAACACAAATGAGTTTCTATTGTTGCTGAGACAAAAAACTAGCATCTACTTTATCCTAGCAACATCACCCCTGAATCAAACATCAAGGTCAACAGAGTAAAGGAAATGATCACCTACTAAAGAAGCTCTCTACTGTTTACCATATTCTCCTTGTCAGCACCTTAGGTAACACATATTGAAGAGTAAATGTGCACAATCCTCGCAGTAAAGTGCACTATTTAAGCAATAGTGAAAATCAGACCTGAAAAAATTGAGGCCTGTGCGAGATTCGAACCCCTGACCTCTGGGATTCTAGTGCAGCTCTCTACCAGTTGAGCTAACAAGCCAACTGGGAGCAGGCCATCAAATTAGTCGGACATAAACCCGTAAGATGATAAATCAAACACAACGAATAATATGAAATACATATATCTGAACTGCAGTTATGTAATGTATATGTGCACGATCCTCGCAGTAAAGCACTAATTAAGCAATAGTGAAAATCAGACCTGAAGAATATGCTTACTGATGTTGGGCGTAAAGGGTTAATGCCCTCTGAAATATTTTAAAGATCCATTTCATGCCCTCTAAGTGTCATAACAGTCAGCTTTATTATCTCAATGAACTTTGTACCTGGAAGTTTGTATCTTTCCAGCCAGGTTTTTTGGCAAGAACTCTGATTAGGACTTGAGAAGAGGTTGTGTTGGGATCCATGCCTTTAATAAGCTACCACAACAAAACAACAAAACTAATATCAATAACACCACAAAATGTGAATTAAACTCATGTAGTTGAGTTCTGATCAGAGATAGTCACACAAAGTTGTTCACAGGTTACTTTCAATAATGTGACTGACTGAAAACAGTAAAACATCCTTTGCTTAGATCAACTCAACCAGCTGAATCATCATTCTTTAAAAGCCAAAGGCAGTCAGGACAAAAAGATAGTTGAAACAAGAATGGTGAAATTACAGAACACTCCTTGCAAATTTACCATCAAGACAATGCAAACCTTTTCACCTAGTGGGTAAATGGGTTTATTTCCAAGGGTGTGTGCAAAATGCAAATAAAAATTCATACCTCTGTTAATGCTTCAATACCAGCAAGTCTTTCCTTCCAGTTGGCATGCACAAGTTGATTTAACACAGCTTCAGAGATCAACTCTGCTGCTTTGGCATCTACTTCTTCTGGCTGCATGAAAAAATTTTTAAATGATAATGTCTAACATATTTTGTATTAGTATATACTAAAACAGTGGATAGCGTGAAGGCATGCTCTGATTGGCTAGTCAAACTCCGAATATCCTTTGCTATTTACCTCCGAGCAACTCGGGAAAAAATGGCGTCCCAGTTTGCATTTGTGACAAGCGAAGAAATCACTCAAATTAACGACAGTGGTGTACATTATCTCACTGTTTTAGTTCATACTAAAACAACTATTCACCTCAGTGTCGGTGGTTAGTGGTAGATATTTACCTCACCGCTTCGCGGCACAGTAAATATCCACCACTAACCACCTCCACTTCGGTGAACAGTTGTTAACTATTAGCAAAGAAATAGCTACAACTATCTCAAGTCATTCAAGAAAATAAAATCCACATGATGGCTTACCGACATCTCTGGTTCGGTTGGTTCTGCACTATCATTAACAGCTGTAGATCCTTTCTTTTTTCCCCCCTTTACTGCCTTTCCTCCGGCAGATGGGGCTGTTGATGTTGATGGCTTCTTTGAAGGCTAAAAAAACAGTCACATTGAGCTATTTGAAGGATAATAATAATAATAATAATAATAATAATCATTATGGATGCCCTCAAGGGATGGTCACGGGAGCTGGATGTCTTGATGCGCGAGCTGGTGGGAGGCAGAAGCACAGACGTACTGTGAAAGATGCAGAGGGCAGTGCTCTCGGGCACGCTGAATATTGCCCGGACTTTCAAGGTGGCAGTTTGAATTCCTGTTAGAAGGAGGACCGTAGACACAACGGAAAAGCTTTTTAGGATTAGTTAATGTACATTTATTTTTTACTCCATAGCACACAGGTTACCGTTTTCGCCCTGTGCTGCCTGATTAGAATGTAGCATTCAGTTGATTTTGCTGCGACATAGTAATAATAATATAGATTGACTTCTATAGCCCATGTAAATGCTCTAATGCACTTTACAGCACTGTGCGGGGGACTTTTCCAGACTGCCGGCAGCAGTTTACAATTAATAAAGGAGAAATTTTACAGATGCCCCCTTCCCCCATTCCCAGTAACCAGGCCACACCACATCACAGTAATCTCGTGATGTAGGTTCTTTAACGTCCCCTACCGAAATTAACTAATTGATAGGTGCAGGAGACGGATACAACAGACACTTCTACTTCAAAGTGTTAACAGGCACAAAACATCAACATGGATGGAAAAATCTATTATCATATCTTTTAGATCACTGCAGCAATGATACAGAAAGGTAACAAAACTAAATAAAAACAAATTGAAGGGGAAAATCTTCAATTTTTTATTTATCCTTTTGGCATGTGTCTGTGTGTCTTCTCTGCAGTAAACCAAAAAATTAAAAAAAAAATACACATACAGCAGAACCTCAATGATTTTATAACTGGCAAGAAAAGACATGGTTTAATGAATCTACAAGTGTTTTTCAAGGGAAATACTCAAATAGTTCAAGTAAGGAAAAAGTTTGAATAAGCAAAGTTTGAGTTATTAAAGTTCTTCCACACAGAATGTTACTTACTCTATGATCCAGTAAATTAAACAATACTCACTCCAGAACTCGCTGATGCAGGTTTTGCTGAATCAGCTGCTTTACCCCCAGGTTTGGATGACTTTGAAGCTGGTTTCTTGGCAGGAACTGCCTCTTTTTTTGCACCATCAGTGCTGGTTGTTCCTGCAGATGCTGGTTTGCTTGCAGCACCCATAGGAACTGCACTAACTTCAGCCTTTTCAGCACATTCTTTTACCTTTAGAGACAATATTGAATGTTAAGCACCATAAGTGGACTTAAACAGTGAATGGTTTTAACCCTGGTGTAACATGTGATACTGTTGTCTGATTATCTAGATGATTGTAATCCTGAGAAGAACTGTTGTCAGTATTGGTGACTGGCATTTCCACAACCTGAGCAGAAGTCGTCATCAGAGTGAAGTCAAGAGTTTGTATGAACTGATTGGTCTGTTGGACTTATCACTGTTCATCTTCAAGTGATAAGGCTAAAAGATGTGTTTACAAATTGAAGCTTCATTCTTCTTACAAGCCACCTGACCCCCTCCCCCCCACAGTGTCTCTCCCCACCCTGGTGTGTAAAAGGGTACAAGCAAATTATCAGGGAAGCTAGGGGTTACCTTGTGATGGACTGGCATCCCATCCAGGGGAGGGTTTAATATCCTAGGTTGCTTCATGCCAGGGAAACCAGATAAACTGAATAAAAACAAACAGATTACCTTATCCATTTTGATCTTATCAAGCTGCTCAATGTATGGGTTCAAAGGTCTTTCTCCAATAACCTTCAGTAATGTGCCAAGAGCTTCAGCAGTGGCATCTCTTACTGGACCAACAGTATCATCCATCCTCTGTAACATAAATATTTATGTGAATGACCTACCATTGAATTAATGCCAGTGATGTTACAATGTGTATTACGTTACGCGTGACGCTTACATCATGGCCTCGCTTTGGTCGAATAAAGTTATCTTTGTTAATCCGCAATCTTAAAAACCGCGTGTCACTAAAGCTCTCTTCTCATCAACAATATCCCTCCAATATTGTTACAAGTGAGAGCAGCAACAAAGTTCTGTTGCAATTCAAATTCAAGACTGGTTAAACTTGGTCACAGTGACAACAACGTTCACAAAAATTTGCAATTGTCACTGGAGTTGTCCCTAACATATGTCACACAACACAGGAACTTGTCATCTGAAGTACCAGCCTTGAAGAGACAAGTTCTTACCTTAAGGAGACTGCTGCAAATAGGCTTCAAGAAAGTCTTTGGCATTGCAGCTGGTGTGCTCTTGCTAAAGCTTCGGACCAGAAATCGAACAGTTCCTTCTTTAACAGATGGGTTCTTATTTTCTAAAGCTGCCAGAATGTCTTCTTGCATTGCAGAAAAGGTAGTCTAATAAATAGGGAAAAAAAAGAGGAGGTTGGGTGTTTGTGGTTCAACAGGAGGCAGACATTTGCCACAGAATCAACTTGGGACTCTTTACACTCATCATTACTCAAATAAACCTTGCACAGTATTTATATTTCTCATTTGTTCTTGAGCAGCACAGCATTCACCACTGTGGGTTGTTTTTAGAAATGTAATAGACGTATGATCTAAACTGAGTGGGCAGCTGAATTAAATTATGTTTGCTTTGCAACATGCCTTTCAAAGGGGTCTTGGAGCATGCTCTACCAGAGAAAATTGAAATCTGAAACTATCTGAAAGGTGATTCCAAGAATTCTTTGACTGACTTTTTTTTAACTAGAAAGTGATGTTAGAATCAATTCAAATACTAATTTTCTATCTTTGATCAAAATTCACAAAGTAGCCAGCATAGAATATGACAGCCGGTGGGTTTCCGTCACCTGTATGTATTGGCTTCTAATGAAAGCCCAGCTTGCTACTGGTAAATCGGCAAATCAGTGTCAGTCCTCAATCCCAAGCTCTTGATTATGATATAAATTATAACGAATGTCCATGTGTAATTAATTATGACATTCATATTATGCACTAAGTAAAATTCATTCATCTTACAGTAAGGAAAACAGCATCTATAGCTTCTCTCAAAGCCGCCACAACATTTGCTTTCTTTTCTTTGAATTTTTCCAAGATAGGGGTAGTTATCATGGATGAGTATTGTGTAAATTTCTTGCGCATTCCTGTTGCTAACAGACCAATGCATTTGGCAGCCAGGGCTACAACCACAACATTTGCATCTTTGGAAATTATCTGTGTAAGAACAAACATAATTCTTAAAATTAATGAGAACATTTCTTAAAATAGTTTGACACCTTCCCAGGTTTCGTCGCATTCAAATGCAATCATCAAATAATGAAATCTTTGGTTTCCTCAAGGCCTTCTTATTTTTTATCTTCTTCTTCTTCTTGTCAATACCAGTATCACATTAACCCTTTAACTTCAAAATTTAGTCTTCTTGTTTACGACAGTCCTGAAAAGTCAAGGTAACATCCCCTTGCTAACAGTTGGCTCATTCTCATTACCTGCCTGCATAAACATTCTTAAATTGTAAATAAAATTTACTATGAAATCACGTATAGGAGGTAAAGCATACGAGAGGCAGTGAGAAGCTTACTTTAAACTGGCCAAGGAAACAGAAAGGAAGTTTCCTTAGTGTTTCCTTTAACCTTTCAAGTCTTGTGTATGTCCTTGCCATACATAAATGCTTGGGTGATGAAGAATACATCAGTCCTTGGTACAAACTTACCTTTTTCAGGGCTCCTAATAATTCCCCATACTGTCCTCCTTCCAGTTTAGGATTTGAAGCAAGTTTTTCAAGGGCTTCCAGTGCTTCCTTCCTTGCCTGCCATTTCTTGTTCTCCTATGTAATTCATTTGTATAAAGCAAAGTTTATCCTCTTCCCCTTTAACTTATGTTAAACAAGTGTCATGAATAGACCTTAGAGAGTTTTGATTCTTGAATTCTGCCATCCTTTGTGTATCAATTATGGTCCAGGAATTTAATGATTTCTCATGATCAGATCCAAAAAATCACCTATGATATCTAAATTTGATTGAAGTTTCCACTGATGCTCAAACTATGATTTCTGAAGAAAACAGAGTCAACTGACACCTAGCTAACTCAAGGGAAGAAGTATAACTCAACCATCATGTGACAATACTTTAATGATTGTTTCTCCACAATCATTTTTTTGGTACTTTTATGTTAATAATTTTCAGAATCATGAATACCAACCAAATTTTCATAAAAGTCTTTAGGGAGTTTGGAAAGAATCTCAACAGCTTCGATGAGGTCATAGGGATCAATTGCTTCATGTTCTGGAACAGCCACTGCTGCAATAGACAACAGGACAAAACAACATATAAATATACCATTGCAAATCTACATGACAGTACTAATGCCCGAAATAAAACCACAAAGAGACTTTACTGAGTGAAGTTCAATTGATCATAGCCTGACTGTTGAAACTGAAACCAAACTATTCTTGAGGTGACACAAGTGGCCATTACCTCTAGATCTTCTCATTATTTCCATATCATGATGCAACCAGGAGTATTACCCCTTGGTCAATTCCCCCCACCCCCACCACCCTTAGAATTTCTGCAGGTTTCTCCAACAATTTGCTTCTACCCATTTTTACATCCTGGGTGGAAGTATGCACTGCAAAAGAAAAGTGTTTTCTCCAAGAACAATGACGTAAGCAAGGCTTGATCCATGACATTTTCATGCAGAGGAGAGTGCAATTAAAATCAAGTCATAACTTCCCCTAAAGTTGAGGAGAAGCCAGAAAAAGTTGACATTGTAGCACCCAGCCCCCACTACACAAAAAAGTTTGACATCAGATTATGATAGCCTGATGACCAGAGATCATCACCATGTTAGGTGTAGTCTCAAATTGTGGGGTATGTGTCTTGCTATCAGGGACAGTGAAGTGCTTTTGGAAGTAACAATATCAATGAGTTCAGGAATTTTTCTGCAATACATTCAGAATCACTCAACCAAATAAAACAAAATTTGGAGGCGTATGTAACTTTCAAAGTTACTTGAGAATGATATAGTCAATAAATAATGATATAGTCACAAATGCTGAAAAGAATAAATAGCAGGTGTTGTTCACTCAAAAAATACCTTGCCATTGATCTTGCCTTCTATACAAAGGTAAAATAGATTCAGTGGAGATACCCTGAAGAATTTCAAAATGTTATGATTTGATTGGAGAATTTCATACTATATTATATACTTTGTGGCTAAAAAAGCCAGGAAATTTCAAGAAAGTGGTATAGAAGGTATATTCACAGAACCTAGTTTATATGGCTTTCCTTTGAAATCACAATGATTGAAGGAAAGTCGTTCCTTGCAGAGTTATAGCACATAAACTTTAGATGGAAGCTTTGATGAAGTTATAATGGAAAGCACTGTGTGTCCAGATCTCAGTTTGTTAGTCAACTAGGTAGTAAATGAACTCTGACAAGCACTCCCAATTGCAAGAAGTTTGTTAGTCCATTGGGGAGTCAATG